TAAGAATGAAAAAAATGTAAAATAAGACTGAAATTTGATTTTTTTGTGTTCCACACAAAAAATAAATGCGGATGAATTTCCATGTTTGATTTTGCGATAAGTCGTAAGAAGAAATATCGTAGGCGCCGAAAACATAAGACTATCCAACGCTGCTAGGCTAGGCCTAGCCTTACCTCGATTTAGGTTCTGTTATCACACATAAAAACGGCCGACATGATATTTTCCGTTGCTAGTAATGACACTTGTGAAATATAATATTTCATTGGAATTCTTTCAAATTTGTTAAAAAACTGATTCTGACTGAGATTTTGACACTTAAACAAACATATCTCAGCCTTAATCGAACGACCGCATTGTGCGAGATGCGAAGTATAAAAACTAATCTCATTACAGAGGGCGCAATTTATTGACTGTATAAAGTATACATAAAAGCGAGAGTATTCCAGTGGATGCGATCTACAACCTCTGAATTTGCCTAGTAACGACGAATTCGTCGAGAAAATGGTAATATTTTATGAGAAATAGTCTGTATTTCTCTTTTTTTTAAATTATTTTGTGTAAACCTAAAATCCATGCCAATATTTTTCCATGATTTATAATAATTGGAGTAATGCAAATGCATATTTTCTTTTAAAAAAGTCAGTTTTTAGTGTAATTTTGCCGGGAATGGGGCTTTAAAGCTGTGTGCAACAATAAATCACAAATTTCGTCCATCAGCGAAACCATTATGGATCAGGTTAGTGATCATATTTAGAAAGCGTTGCCTATGACAACGAGACAGTTGCGGGCGAAATAGCCAGCCTTCGTGACCAAAACAATAAGCTCCTAGCCGAAAATTGTGATATGGTGGACAAACTAGATGAACTAGAGCAATATAGTAGAGGCAACTGTCTGCTTCTTCATGGCGTTCCTGAGTCCATAAACGAAAATACGGACTCTTGATCTGATTAATTCCAGGATTAGTGATGAGGTTGAGATATGCGATCTCGATCGTACCCATCGATTAGGTAGAAGGAAAGTTGGAAATGAACATAAACCAAAACCAAGGCCCATCATCATCAAATTCACCTCTTACCGCACCCGCTCAGCCGTATTCCGTAACAAAAAATCTCTTAAACAATCTGGTTTCTCAATCACTGAAGATCTTACACCGAGAAGGTTAAAGCTCTTACAGGAAGCAATAAGAAGTGAGGCTTTCGAATCTGCATGGTCCATGGACGGCAGGATTTACTGCGTGATAAAGAAGAGTATGAAGAAACAGGGGCGGATCCAGGATTTCAAAGAGGGGGTTCAGAAAGTTCCCAAAAAAGAAAGGGGGCCTCCCCCGGGAAAATTTTGATTCCTAAATGGCCGGAAATGAGCTTTCCCGACTTCTAAGGTGTCTTTTAATGACTTTTTAAGTTCTTCAAAATTCAAGGTTTTCTCACTTTTGAAAAAGTTCAGGTAATTTTATCTCATTCTCAGGCCTATACATAGAAAAAAAATAAATAAAAGACATATGTGACCCAAGACCACGAAAATGAGCAGATGTAAGCTAAACGCATTTTGAAAATATGGCACCCTAGACACTGGCCTAACTAGTTTTCGAGGGGCCCTGGTTCGAGAGTACAGTCGGGCTTTGACGCATATAAATTGACCAAGGCCGATCAGGTTACAAAGCTGTATACAGTTAACAAAATGTCTCTTTACTGAAGTAATCCATAGAAAAACCATCCCCCGCTGAACACCATCCCAATATGGTATAGCATTTGGGGGCCAGAAACATTCATGAAAGCGAACTATTTACAACTTATTACTATTTTACTGAAGTAATCCATAGTACTGGGCCGGAATATTGATAAAAAATGTATATCGTATATACTGTGATGATGATGATGATGATGATGATGATGATGATGATGATGATGATGATGATGATGATGATGATGATGATGATGATGATGATGATGATAATGATAATGATGATGATGATGATGATGATGATGGTGGTGTGGAGGACGATAACGACGACGACGATGATGAACATGATGATGACGATGGTAAAGTTGTTGACAAAAATGTGTGTATATTTTCCTGTAAAGATGTTTAGTATAGTAGAGTCACTTGATATTGCTAGTGCACTTTTGGCAATCCTCAGGTAATTGACATCTTGTTTGTTGTTTTGTCTTGTTTTGTTTTTATCTGGATACTGAAAGGTCCTAAATGAAATATTAGGGTTTAAAGTATAATTCTGAGATGCCCAAAAATGTACCGCTACTTCTTCCCCTCAAGGGACTATTGAATTCATACATATCTCAGTCCTGTCATGGTGGGCCTGATGTAAATAAATTTTGAATATATGGTTTCTAGATGCCTAGAAATGGCAGTTGGTTGAAGTGGATTAGTTAAGATACCTTACCCATCCCAGCTTTACCATGATTCAAAAAATGGCTACTCTGCCCTGAAATAGCACATGTATACTTTAAAAAAATGACTGTCCTTCACTTTAGGAGTTTAAATTTTAATTGCAATAAGGGCCGGCTTGACCCGTATATCTTTGTTGGTGATAACAATATTGGCCGACTCAAACCCCCACCATTTTTGGGGGTTTACATTAATGTATATCTCTAAACAAAATCAATCTTATTTTACTAAGGATTGTCAAAAAAGTTAAAATGTACATAGGCAATACAAAAACAAGCGTTTGATGGCTTTTTGTTTAAATATATAACATTAAAAAGACAGCGTGAGGCGAGAATTATTAGTAAATTCACATAATTTATAAGTATCAGTATATATTTTATTCCATAAGTAATAGAATTGAGAAAAAGTGGTCAGGGCAAAAGCCGGTGCGGTTCCGACGACCCTGGAATCTCTACTGGGTTACCGTCACCAGCCTAACCCAATCCCGGACCCCTATATAGTGGGATCGAGTAAAGGAATGGGATATAAATTTTCCCTTCCACAGATAAACAGGTAATTAGAGATGGTGGCAAAGATAGCACCCCCCCCCCCCCTAAAAAAGGCAAATATTTATGTTGTGAAGAGATACAATCTTTAGAAGTTTTTGAACAATTAGTGAGTCGGGTTGTTGTTTATAGCATGATATATTCGAGAAGACTATTGCAGAAGTGAGATGATGTAAAAGTGAAGGATCGATTATCATAAATAGTTGATTTTTTGTTATCTGGCTCCTGGGCCACAAAATCTGGAATGCAAATATTTATTTGCTTGTTTTTATTCATTCATTTATTACTTTTATTTGAGGTGGAATTTCCATAGTGCAAACTGTTCACACTGATGTCCTAAGTTCATATCAGACAATTATTTACTCACAATCAAAGATCGTTTTGCTTAAGATAAACACAAGCATACACCCGTCTTTCGAAAGGAGCATCTTTAAAATCTAGTTATGGTTAAAGGTAAAGCTATTTTTAGCTGAACACCACCCCGGTATCCCAAGATTTCGGGGATGTGGTTGTGGCTGACAAACAAACAAAAACATTATTCTATAATGAAAAATGGCCAACTAATATATGTTACGAAATAACTTGAAATAAACTGTTTTAATCAATCAAATGTTTGTCAAAAGTGTATAAGATAGAATATAATTGATATACAAAAATGTTATTTCCGGTCACTTTTGGACAAAAAGCAAATATATACATACAGTATTTCCCAAACAATTTTGAGATCCTAATTAGGTGTCTATGACCAATGCTAATGTGGATACGCATGCTACAGGGAACCAAGGGTCAAAGTTCAGAAATGTCATTCTGGTCACTTTTGGTCAAAATGTTGCATTAGTGCAAATTGAATCCTGCATGTTCTGAACAATTTGAGGCCAAAAGTAGGTTTCTATGATCAACGGTTATAGAGATAAGAATATTATACTGCAAGTTATGTGGAACAAACGTCAGACATGTCATTTCCGGTTGGTTTTGGACAAAACATTTTATTAGTAGAAATAAATAAACGCATATTTTGATTAACTTCAGACCAAAATTAGGTCGCTATGACCAACAGTTTTGGAGATATGGATATGTTGGGTATCTAGGGTTAAAGATCAGAAATAAATTTTTGCGGTCGTTACATTAGAGCAAGTAGAAATATATATGTTCCGAGACCAAAATTAAGTCTCTACGATTTTCCATTGCCAAGATATATGGACCCCTCCTTCAAGTTTCATGCTTTGGAAATAAAGTGCAAAATTTAGTCCCTTTGGTGCTCTACTATAAAAGGATACTACATTCTCAAGGACACACATGGTGTACCAAAAGTTTAATTATTTTATTATTAAAAATAATATATAAATAGCTTTAGTAGTAGTTTAACAAATACGGGACAGAAAGCTGTTTTTAATTCCCTTTGACCCAGAACCAGAAGCGTTTAGGATTTTCATTTAGCTTCTGTGAAAGTGTGGAATGTTTAAATAACTTTATTTAAATCATAAAAACTACAAATTGTTTATGTTGTAAAGCATCACACGGGCATTTATTTTTGCATTACAAACGGCTGTATTATTTATAATCCCGTACAACTATGAATGCAATACCTCCATGGTTATACATGGTAAATCACTTATTCTTAAATGAACTTCAATAACGATTCCATCTGTATTTACAATTACCTCGCAGAAGTCAGAATATTACAGAACTGACCAGAGGGAGCAAAGAATACAAGACATGCGAAACCAACATCAACAAGACATTTCACCATTTTATGTTTGTTTATGTTTTTTAATAACTCGGCTACAACGGTATTAGTGAATATAAATTGACCTTTCTTGCGTCATATTTAACAACTGACCAATCAGAACTGGGCCAATAATGTGTGCTTGTCCTAAAAAAAAATGCCCGAGCTTTCGTACGTTTAAACTGTCGTTTTGTGGGATTTTAGCAACAAAATCCAAGGGGTGGAGCTTAGTGGAAAGGTCCATTGACCGTCTGAGTGAATTTAGCGTATACATATAATTTATGGCTTTGGATAGCTAATAGGTAAAATTTGTATTTTTACTGCAGAAAAAATTTGATGTCTGGAAAATACAATGTACTTGATTCTTACGTATCCGCTGATGTTAACGATAGTATCAAGTCAGCAGTGAAAAAAAAGTAAGTAGGTCTAACCTTGAATAAATTTATCACGTTTGTAGTTTATCTAAGCATTGAGGTATAAAAGGCTCCAAGTGGGTATAAATTGAGACTTTTAAAGCTGGTAATCTCAAAACTAAGCTCGAAAGCATATCCTCTAATCATACGTTAATGAATAGAATTATGAATCTATAAAATAATGTTATGATATGATGTATAATACAAATTTTTATAATACCTAAGTAGAATTTATATCCCATAACGTACTTATTCTAATGACCACGCTGGTCTAACGCAAGATACGGTTGATCCGAAACTTCCTGAGAATTTAAGTTTAGCTGAGTCGTAAATCGCTGAAGTAGGCTACACAAGTTGTGTAAGTACTGTATTTGCTACTCGACTTATTGCAGAGATTCACATTGGAAATTATGACATATGTGTTGTATTTCTTGCGTTTGCGTGAAAAGCGTCTACATTAGCCTGCTTTAGTATCGTAATCTAAAGTTGATTATGATAAAATTATATTCAAACAGAACATATCGAAATTGCATCCACAACTGTGAGTATAATAAAAATCTTTAGTTAAACGTTAATACGTTTGCATTTTAGGCCATAGGCCTACATGTTTATAAGTGACTTCAAAGACATTAAATATACATTTTGGTGGACTCACTAATGTACGCGTAGTGTTTATTGCGTCTGTGACGTGTAAAAACGCGTCTTGATCTAGTAAACGACTTATCTTTCTTGCCAGCCAATATTTAAAAAAAATTAAGTCAAAAATTATATCTTTTAGGTTTAGCTTATTGCAACGTCTTCTTCCATACACCAATGCAGTTTGTATTGAAAAACAGCAGAGGATCAAGATATTGGAAGGGAGAAAGAAGAAATCAGTAGTACCAAAAATGTCGGAAATAAAACTTATTCAATCTTCAAAATTGAAAGGAAAGCCTAAAGGATTAATAACAGTTCCAAAAAAACAGTCCTGTGCAGTTATTGGAAACAGTGGTATTTTACTTAATAGCTCCTGTGGCTCAGAGATTGATTCTCATGATTTTGTAATGCGATCAAATATGGCACCGATTACAGGTTTTGAGAAAGACGTTGGATATCGACAGAACTTTGTATCACTAAACTGGGAACTGTCTATAAATTTCATATCATGTTTAGATGAAACATCCAGAAACTGTTCAGCAGAAATGCTAGACAGGTTTAGGGTGTATAACAAATCAATACTATGGCTTTCAAAACTCGATAGTAGGCGAGGCGTGCAACAGTCTTATCGTAGAGTGATATCACTGCTGGATAGGAACAAAGTGCATCCGAAGATAGCATATCCATTTATCTCCCTTGCTAAATTAATAACAAGGTGACTCGATTTTACATCTCTTTTTTCCATTTTTTTCTTTTTGGCTCTATCTAAAGAAAAAGGTGTCAATCGACAATAAATATATGTAGGCCTACTTTTGTTTAATGGTATTTGCAAAGGACGACAACAACCGCTCTCTGGAATATTGTTAGTAAATTGATGTACAGCAGGAAAATAATCTCATACTCTTACTATAAAAACGTTTATTATTGTTCACACAAAACTAACGGTTTAACGTCTCATCTATGAAACAGAGCAAAAATTGTATTTTAATTATATATTTTAACTTCACTGCTAAACCCCATACTAGTGTCTAATTCCCTCTATATAGCAATAATCTCTAAATAAAATAGATATCAGAATTTAATATCTAAGGTAGAATGTAGAGATAATATCTCATAATTCATAGTGTTATTGTGCTGAGTTTCGTACGGTCGTGATTCGTGACTGCTGTAGCAACCAAAGAGAAGTGCTAAGTACATTCATGGCACATCATTCTACAACGACAGAATTGAGCCATAGCATCGAGGTAACCTCTTACTCCTGCAAATAAAAAAAACGCTAGATCTCTAAACATATATATTCTAGTATATGATTCAAAATCATAAGGAGAAGAGTGCTCAATACCGAAGTAGAGCTAAATAATCCACAGCAAAATATAAACTTGTTTACTTTATACTTTTATTCCAATTACATTTTGTTTTGTATAGTCATTGTGACCAAATTCCGATTTTCATAGATTAGATATAAAAATTTATGTATAAAATAAATGCATCTCTCTCACAAAACAATTTTCATCATAGGTCCGCTATAAGAAATTGTTAGTCTTTCAAGTAAGCGTTTTCTGTAAAACCTACGAAGTTTCAAGCTACTAACAATGGTATTCCCATGATTTTGAAAAGGGAGGTTCTGGTTTACAAAAGGCTAGGGAGGCCCGGGAGCATATAGTCCAGTTCCTAAGCCTACAAAAAATGGGGGGTTGTTACACCAGTGGATACAAATTTGCCATTATGCATGGTGATAGGGCATGATGTTGGGATACCAAAACCAAGTTATTGGAAATCTGATTTGACCTCTGTGACCTTTGACTTCAATTTTAATATTTTTATTGAAAAAACATGAAATTGTCATATCTCTGTAACGCTTTGGGCTATTGAGGTAATTTTCATGCCAAATTGCTCAGAACACATATATTTATATTTGCTCTAATACAACCTTTTGCATGAAACCCAATGCTTAATGTGATTTTTCATAAAAATCATGTTTTTGGGAAAAAATATGAAATTGTCATATCTCTGCAACGCCTACGTCTATAGAAATCATTTTGGTGCTAAATTGTTCAGAAAACATACATTTATATTTGCTCTAATACAACTTTTTTCCATGAAAACCAATACTTACTGAGAAATTCTTTAAAATCATGTTTTTGGGCAAATATAGGTAAAAAATTATATTTCTGAAAAATACAGTTCATTATTAGGCCTTGGCATATATTTATTGAGATGATACAAAATCCAAGTTACTGGAAATTGGATTTGACCTATGTGACCTATGACCTCAATTTATGTTTTTTATTGAAAAAGAAAGAAATTGCCTTATCTCTGTACTACTTTGATCTATAATATTTTAATTCAGGAAAATGCAGTTAATCATTAGGCCTTGATGTTACAGCAGTGACCTTTGGCATAGTGGTAGAAAACATTGTAGGGGTACAAACTCCAATTCACTGTTAATCTGATTTGACCTATGAGACCTTTGACCTCATTTTTAATGTTTTTTTATTGAAAAAAAATATGAAATTGCCATATCTGTAATACTTTGGTCTATTGAAATGATTTTTGTGTCAAATTTATATTCGCTGTAATACAAAATTTTCCATGAAAACTAATGCTTACTGAGAATTTCTTTAAAATTATGGTTTTGGGCAAATAATATGAAAATTCCATATTTCTGAAAAATACAGTTAATTATTAGGCATTAGCATACTGTATGTTTATTGAGATGTTACAATACAATAGTGACTTTGGCATAGTGGTAGAGCACATTGTAGGGTACAAAATCCAAGTTACTGGAAATATGATTTTACCTCTGTAATAATTTATTGAAAAAACATGATATTGCCATATCTCTAACACGTTGGTCTATTAAAATGATTTTGGTGTCAATTTATTTGCTATTACAAATTTTAACCTAATGCCTACTAAGAAATTCTTTAAAATCATGTTTTGGGCAAATTAAATATATGAAGAGCCATATTTCTGCAAAGTACTGTATGTTAAATCAGATATTTAGGTCTTGATATAGCATATTAAAATATTCCCAGTATTATATTTTTAGAAAAAAAAATCAAAATTTACACAATCATTGTCTTCTTCCATTAATCATATACGAATCTATAATGATGGAGAATGATAAATGATGATAACTTATGAAGCTGAATGGTGAAAAAATGATGGCGACGATAATAGAAAATTAATGGATGATGATAGTGATGGAGGATTACGATAATACTGAATTATTCCGATAATGATGATGTTGTAATGTTGATAGAAGATGACAATATTGAATGATGATGGATTTGATTTGATGGATGACGGTAGTAGATGATTGTGACAATGATGATACAGTAAAAAGTGATGATTATGATAGGGATTATAATGGTGCTGTGGAATAATATAGAAAATAATGATTAGGAAGATGATTGTAATAATTATGATTACATGATCATGATGATAATGACAATGATGATAAAGGATGAAAATTGTTGATAGTACGATAATGGAGAACGGTGATAGGTGATGATGATAAAGTATGATGGTAATAATAGAAAATTACACAAAAACTGTGTTAGTGATGCAGTATGTCAAAATATATACGATGGGAGAGTGATTTAGGGAGTTGTTGATGATAATAATGGATGATAATGATTATGATGATGATTCTGATTCTGACTACTCTGTGTAATGTAATGTTTTTTTTTGGTATCATAACATTATGAGTGAAGAAAATAATCGATTTAGTATAATAGTTGATGGATATTATGAATAGAATTGATTACAGTATATTACTTTAAAATCATTGTATTTGAATTTTAAAGATGTTTTCGTATTATCATCCTATTAAGATACAATGATTGACTAATCATGAATTATTTGTTATTTTACAGGATCTGGGGCATTTCTAATCCTTCGTCAGGTCTGTATCTTTATACGGTAGCTGCATCCATGTGTGAAAGCGTCTACCACGCTTTCTTAAAATGTTAGCGCCACGCTAAGAAACTATGTAAGTATGTTTTATTCAAAACCTTACAACAATAAATACCAAAGTGTCGAAATGCAGGCAGTTCCACAATGTTCCCACGGGGAACAGTACTTGTTCAATCGCAAATCATGAGGCTGCAATGTAAGCCCGACTGCAGAATCTCTTTTTATTTTATTTATTTATAACTTATGCCAGGATAACATTTCAGTAATATACACCATACATGGCATATATATACTGTTTTTAAAATGGTCCTGGTATCTAATGCAACTACCATAATTAACACAAAATTAAATAAGTGAAAGTCAATGATTATCACCTTTTTCCCCACAATGAATAAATCTTTTTATTTTATTTATTCATTTTTTTAAATTTTTTACTCATTGACCATTTATTCTATTGAATTATATTGTGAAGATCGTTGAGGAATTTAGAATTTTAGTGCGATTTGAAACAACTATTACTCGGAGTTCTAACACTTGGCACCTGCTATTTTAAAGGATACGGACATTTTTCCAAGTTTTGCTTTTTGTATAACAACATTTAAAGTGTTGGTATTTCGAGTGTCATAATTATGTTGTTCAACTGCTAATTCAATCAATTTATAATGAACGTAGCCAAAATTCTTAGTTAATATGCGGGCGCATCTCTTTTGCAACCTTTTAATCACATTCTGTTCTTGTTAGATGTATTACTACCCCACACTGTGATGGCATAGTCACTGGTTGATTGTATTGTAAATTTGTATAACTTACCGTACCGTATCTAATAGTGATTTTTGAATAAATTTACCCAACTATCCAAGGAACATAACTTTGTAACCTAACTTTTTGCTTACGAGTGAAACATGATCATTCCATGTTAAATTCTCATCGAGCTGTACTCCAAGATATCTTACAGTTCAAACTTGTTCTAATTGATTATTATTAATAGGCCTATGTATTTTAATTTTATCTGAAGATGAAATTTTACTACAACTGAATAGCATTGTCTTGCTTTTGACTGAATTAATTGTGACATTGTAATCTTAATACCATTAGTTGACATTGTCCATTTTTTGTAGGTCTGTATTAATTTCCTCAATAGATTCCGGACTTACACACCACAATATCATCAGCAAAAATGATACAACTTCCCGAGTGAATGGCCTGGGAAATGTCATTAATAAATAATTTATGTCATTAATAAATGATTTATATCATTTGGCTGAGACCCTGTTTAATTTATACAAACGATTAATTTTCTATTTGTTAGGTAGTTTTCAGAACAGAACTTAGGATTAAATCAATACATGTTAAGGAGAAGAGATTTTGCCCACGTCTGAAAATAAATGTTTTTCAGGAAGATCCTTAGGATTAAATCAATAAATGTTGAGGAGGAAGATCCCGTTTCTCTGGTTGGTTTAAGGATTAATTGTGTTAATGAAGACATATTCTCAATGATTTATAGGATTATTTGATAAGTCAATGTCAAGGCTATACTTAATATTAAAATCACCAAGTAAAATCATTTCACTTGGTTCAAGTGTTGCATGTTCAATCACATCGAGCATACAATCAAAGTATTCACTAGTTGCATCAGGTGGTCGGTATAAACAACATATATAAAAGTTTTTTAAATTTCTCAAATTAAGCTCAATCTTTAACTTGATGGGTGGAGCTTAAATCATTTCTCAATTTATAGTTAATGCCATCTTTGATAAAAATACAAACTCCCCGCCCCCATTCATTAGGCACAATACTATAGTTCTCAATATTAACTAATAGGCCTATATCAATGTCTTCTGAAAGCCATGTCTCAGATAAACATAGAATATCAATATTTAGTTTCTGAACCAGTATTCTAATTTCATCCATTTTATTAATTATACTTCTCGTGTTTAAATGGGTTATACTCAATCCATTTGCCCTATTTAATTTACCAGCGATCTGAAACAACCCTGTTAACTTGTGTCTTCTTGCACCCCCTTTGGATGTGTCCGTATCTCCCACAGTTATAGCATTTTGGTCCCACGTGTAATATTGTCGTTGTAGTTGGAAGCGTGTTCTCCGAAAGGGTCTATTTCAAGGAGTATGTGGTGGTTCTCGGGTATACTGTTAGAGTAAAAGGTTACTAATTAGCAGGCGATTTACTCCAAGTGGAGAAAGGTGGAGACCATCATTGCAAAAAAGAGAGCCACCTGGAGTTTTGTTACAAAACCGGAAGTTCCCGTCATTATCAATGAAGAAAACTTTATTGTCATCTGCTGAAGTTTTCAGGATGTCATTAATAGAGTTATGTTTTATGCGATCTACCCTATTATCCAATCTAGGGAGAATGTTAGAGATTAAAACAAACCCAATGGTATTAATTGGGCGACCCAAACTACTTGTACAGCGGGTTTGATTTGACCTCAGTTCGCTGCTTTCGTGATAGCTGGCTAGCAAATGATAAAAAGTGGCAAAAACGTTTCCATTTATTTAATACTACCCCCTTCATAACATGTAGGCCTACTTGCATTTGCTTTGTGGCAGAGGATATGTCTTGAATCATAGAATCTCCAAAAAGTAGATTTCTCTTACTATCACTCTTCTGCTGTGATTGGTGTAATGGATTTTGTTGATGCGTTAGTTGAGGTTCCTTTGTTTTGTTTTTGTTTGTGCTTGAAAATCTGATGTATTAATTTGTGTGGCCTTTTAGCTTCATATGCTTATTCTTTAGCATCAGTATTTCAACATTTTCATTTAAAGTAAAATTTTAACTGACTGTTGTAATGATTTCATTTCTTTCTCAATTGCTTTTACTTTATCATTATTTTTATTATCTCCTTGTAATTTAGTATTTTCACTTCTTATTTGGTTAAAACTTGTGATACATTTACGTTACTTTTTTAATTTTTAAACTTCGTTAGTGAGCTTATTATTCTATTTTGTTAGGTCCTCGTTTTCTTTTTGTAAAACTTCAATTTATTTGTATTTCTGTGTACAGTTTTTCGAGTAGGAATTTTACAATCGTGTTGAATTTCAGTTTGAATTGTGTTATCCTCTTTGTCCTGTATAGGCAAAGTCTGTGTATACAAGCTATGGCTTTCGTCGGTGTCTTGGTCACAATCATCTAATACTACATCGCTAACATTGACATTTTCGTCATATTTTTAAAGATTTTTTTTGCTTCATTTTCGGTGGCAAAAGATTCGTAGATAGCCCCTGGGAAACGGGTGTTGATTATGCATTCAGGCCAACTTGTAACAATTCCCGTATTCTTACCCATCTACTGCATATAATATTTCTTCTATGATCTCTCTGTCATCGTATATAATGGACGGAAAAAGGAACATAAAAGTCTCGCCAAATGCGATTGACAGCTATAAAATGACAGTGCTATATGTACAGGTGTACACTACAATAGAATGTTATCGCCTTTCCTTTGTTTTTTGTTTACTTGTTTCCCAAGAGAGTCTTCGATAGTCTGATCCTCCTGGAATGAGGCCAAGCAAAACGATGCTTATAGGCCCCTCGAAAAAAAACAGCATATTTAAAATTTAACATAGGGCGCAAATTTGATCGGATGGTCAGCCAAACGTACTTCGATTGCAGATTTAAATAAATTAATTGAACTAGAGTTAACGTCGTCTTCATTCAATAAAGAATTCCACAGCCGGACTGACCTAAATGAAAAAGCACGACTTCTAATAAGTGTCCTACAGCGCTGATGTTTAATCTTAAAGGAGTGACCTCTAGTTCTAGCACTTTTATCAAACTCAAAAAATAAATCACCCGAAACCCTATCAATTCCATGGACAATTTTAAAAAGCTGTAAAATATCCGATCTCATGACATAACAGATCGAAACGTCTAGTGTGATTAACGTGATCGAAAAATAAGATTGTCGGATGAATAGACAGCTGACTTCGTTTGTGATTAGCGACGAGGTGTAGAGTATGTGTAGTATAATTAGCAGCCGGTATGTTTTAAACTTGATGGATTAAAACGTAAATATTATTGTCACGTGAGTGTATGGGTAGGTGGAAAACGTAAGTGTTATTATCCAGCGACCGTGTTTGGCGGGTAAAAACGTAAATATTATGGTCACGTGATTAGAGTTTTTTCGCCAAGGGTTCAGGTGTAAAAATACACAATCAGCTACAAAATGAATAAGACTTACAGTTTGTTGCACAATAATAACGATTAATGTAAATCCAGTACAATATGCAATATAAGATCAGAATGCTTCATATCCGAAACGCCTGTTGTATTGGCCTGCCACTAGGGTTAAGTCTACGTACGGTCCAACCATTTTTGCGATAGGTCAATGACCGTTTGCGATAGGTCAATGCCCGTCAGTTGAAATCGCTAAGATCTTGAATTGGGCCTGGCGTAAACCTCGTAATAATTGGATGTTGTGTCTATTCCTGTATCACGATTTTACTCAAATATTCACAAGTTGCGTAGATTCCTATCTCAGGTAATTGTAATTTGGATTGATTTTCTATCAGATAAATTTGTTTGGTGTAAATTTAGTCGGATTTTCTAAGAAGTAGTTACACGCCCTAAAGCATTGCATACATGTGTACCTATCCTTGTATGCGAGGGTTGCCAAAGTGCGAGCCAGCGAGTCATCCAGAAAGGCATGCAATTCATGCGAGCCATGACGGTAATTCATGCGGGACGTGTACCAACAGTGCGAGTCATGGGAGGCAGACCAAAGTCCACGCTTGTACAATTTATAAAACAATTACAATAATGAATTAACTACTTTTAACATAATTATTTTGAAAAAAGACCAAGTCCAGTTATCCAGACGTGAATTCAAGTAGGCGCGGCTATAATGAATGACAGGCTATGTAATTTTCATTTCACACCCATTCGCCGCATGCATGGAGGGAGAACGTTATTTATTTTTCACAAAATAAACATAACTAGCCAAAGACAATTAAAACACATGAAACCAAACACAGTTGAAAGAGTAAACGTCATCAATTAAAATGCTTAAAAAAGTACATTTCCAAGAGTTGCAAAGTGAA